TTCCTGCTTTAGTGCAACCTGTTGGCTGCGATGCGAAACTGCTGTGATCACGCCTACAGCCGGACTGTCCGATAAGCACTCACTCCGTTAAAGTTGATGCAACATGTTCTCTTTCTTACACAAAAATGAAGCGGATTTCCGAGCGCTGGTGGTCGTCAATGTGTCTCACGACGCAGGGCTGTCAGTACGCCTACAACGCAGCGCCGACGCTCAGTGGCCTACCTCGGTGGAACAACCAGCTTTTTCCAATCTCAATATTTCTGCAGCAGTATAATTAGACGACAAGTAATTGCTTCTGAAAGTAGACCATACCTATAGTGAATAAGGAATGTGCCCCGCTGATTAGATCATCTCCAGCAAGTCCCAGTTGGAAAAACATCTGAGAAATGTCCACACAGTCGAGTTCTCAAATAAAACCCAGTCCTCGCTGTAATGTTGCGCGGATAGGTGTCAGCTGGATTTGTTGCTGCCTGTTTCCGCAAGGCAGAAAAGCACTGTCCGCAGTATCAACAGTTTTACAACTAAAGTCAACAACGTCGCTGACTTATCTGGATCTGGCGATCCACTGTGTGCGTCGTCGCGTCTATCCGTCGATAACTTTTTACGCACATTGCCGGCAGGGGGGAAAATGATCGATTGGTCTCTTGATCGCAGTCTCAGGATAAATCCACAATGAATCGACGGATTTCATGTGCTATATTCTACTGTGTCGCCGTAAACCCAGCGACTGCACCGAAGTTATATAATTCAGCCGTGCTGCCCTGGCTCACTCAACTACAAACTCGGGCAAGGCTGGGCGGAGTTAGTGAAATAGTGACAACTAACTGGAACAAGAGATGCGTTTCCTTATTGTTCCTTCTGAATAAAAGCTTCATTGCTGCAGCTGTGATTATGAAGGTCACATGAGTCTTCTTCATATGGAAAAAAATTAACGAAAAATCAGAACAATTCCAAATGACAATTTTTGGCCAAAACAGACAGTAGAATTAATTTTTCATTCATTTTTATTTTTCAAAGCGAGCTTTTAAAAGCTTTTAGCAGATGCTCAGCTTCCTGTCACCTGGCCACCTGTGGTACCTTGACGCAGCTGCTGGTTTGACACCTGCCGCTCTACGCCCCTTTCTCTACTGAGGAATCTGTCAAAACCTGTCTCCGTCTCCAGGCATGGTGGGTTTGAGGAGACAGTTAGGCCGTATGTCGTTACTTAGGTTTTGTTACGACCTCTCAACCACCAAACCAAGGTTAATATGAACTTGAATTTTCCAAAGTTCAGTTTAAATTTGGACGTCCTTTCATAAATTTCTAGGCAAAGAGAAGGAAATGCAGTCATGATTTGGCTAGAAGAATCTCCTAAAATGTACCACAGTTAAGTTGTTTGAAGTCTTGAAGTCAGCCAAGTGTATAGGTCTACAAAGTAGATGGCTCACAAAGTTTAGATTCATAAGGTATTTAATGTAACCAAGAAATATGAAACCAATTTGCTTTTTTTTTTTTTTTTACCTTGTTTCATAATTTCAGCACCATTCATCCAGGCTTCATGTCGGGAAAATTCAGGTCAGTTCAGCTGCAGCAACTGAGAATCACGTTGAAACTGAGAGAAAATAAGTGTACAGAAGGTAGAGGAAGCCCCACACACATAAATCGCATACCTTTATGCAAATTTCAGAGATGAGAACAGCCTCCAGACAAAACTGCCTTCATACTTTTACTTCAAGGACATTAATCAACAAAGCACAGCTGACATTAAGGGGCTTGAAGTGCTTTTGCTAGAGCACAGAGTGAGGGGTCAGAGGGCAGGCTGAGAGCTAGCAGCACTCTGGAAACTTGAAGCCCAAACCTGATTCCTAATCTTTTAGGGGGGTAGGGTAGGGTAGGGGAAGACTTTATTGATCCCACATTGGAGAAATTCCAGTGTTCCAGCAGGATTAGAGAGCAAACAACAAAACACCACAAGAACAACAAAACACCATAGGGACCTCCGAGAAGCAAATCAAAGGCACCTAAAAACAAGACAAAACATAGCACTTGAGAGAAATCAAGAACAAGAATATTACTCCCACACTTAATTCCACAGTGGGGAAAAACCTCGTATGTCAACAGCAGTAGAAACTAAACAACAGACACCGTAAGGATCTCTGAAAAACAAATCAAGAATACCCCAAAACAAGACAGTACAAGCATTTCAGAAAAATCAGGAACAGGATATCACTCCCACAGTCAATCCCGCAGACAGAGCAGTCAGTGGTCAGAGGGGGCGAGGCGGAAGCGTATGCATTCCTGGCATTAGCATACAGTAGGTCCAGAGTTTTTATTGTCCTTTGTGTGGCAATTAACATACTGGGTGAAGTTTAGGGGGGTGGCAGAGAGGGGGAGGGAGGCATGGTTAAGGTCCCCTGAGATGAGGATTAGAGGGTGTTGTGTCTGCTGCAGAGACACCGCTCTGCAGTCGCCTGCGCACATCAGCAGCATTGGCCGAGGGATTACTGTAAAACTGTCACCACAGAATCAGGAGCGTCGGTAAAACACAGGCTACAACCCTCTACACAGATAAGTTGTAGGTAGCTCAGGAAGTTCGACCTGCCCCAGGAGCTGCTGATACAGTTCTACAGAGGAGTCATTGAGTCTGTTCTCTGCATCTCCATCACTGTCTGGTTTGGCTCAGCAACCAAACAGGACAAGTACAGACTTCAGCGGACAGTCAGGACTGCAGAAAAGGTCACTGGTGTGAGCCTGCCCTCCATGGAGGACCTGTACACCTCACGGGCCAAAAGGAGGGTGGAGAGGATCACTGCAGACCCCTCACACCCCGCATACAATCTGTTTGAACTCCTCCCCTCTGGACGGCGTTACAGGTCACTGTGCACCAAGACAACCAGGCACAGGGACAGTTTCTTCCCCCAGGCCGTCACTCTGATGAACACTTAACCCACGACAGTATGATTGGACAATAACCCTCAGTGCAATACCTGTAAATATACATTGTACAGATTATACAGACTCGTACAGGTCTCTAGTTTTAGGTACTCTGTTTTTATTCCTATTTATCTCATTTCAATGAGCATTCCTTTGTCTGTCTGCACTGTTGACTGCCTGTTCATACTGCTTATTTTGCATTGTTTGCATTGTTTGTTACTTGTTAATACTGCTTATTTTGTTATATTACACAGCCTCATGCTGGTTTACTGTTTACTTGCCCTTTGCATGGGGATATGTACATACACACTGAGAGCCGATGTACCAGAGTCAAATTCCTCGTGTGTTCGACAGACCTGGCCAATAAAGCTGATTCTGATTCTGATATGACTTTTGCTGAGAGGCCTCTGTCTGAGAATATTTGCATTGTTGGCTAAGCTACAGTAGAGTAAACTTATCAGCCACTATCAGTCACCATCCAAATGTTAAACTTATGAAACAAACTATTACTTTGGATGACATCCCCCTCATACTCCCCTACACCCCCAGCACCACTACCAGGACCCCAGCTGTAACATGACCTCCCTTGTTTACAGACACTAGTGAAAGCTGACATATGCTCTGGCACTAAGCAGAGCGGTTATAATTGATCTCATCAGTAAAGATGACAAAGTAAACTGATTCTGTGTTTTACGTGCAAATCTATTAACACCAGTGCACTGTAAGGAAAACCAGAAGAGTTTGTGTTGCCTTGTGGCCAGTCAGGTAGGTTAGATTAGACAAAGCACAGAATCTAATTCTGGATCTTCATTTACAGAACATAGGACGGGTTCTTTTTCTTATTAAAACAACAACAACAATAACAATAATAACTGTTATTATTATTATTATTTAACAATTTGTCTATAAAATGTTGAAAAGTGGTGAAAATGTTAACATTTCCTGTAGCCAGTGGAAATGTCCTCAAATTACTTGTGTTGTCTGGCCAGTAGTCTGAAACCAAAATTTAATACAATTTGAAGGGGCTGTTTGACTGCTCTACCAACTCTACCAGTGACATTTCAGTGACTGTAACACTCAGGGTGAAGAGGAAGAAGCAGAGAGAAGAGGAAGGGAAGTGGACAGTCAAGGCTGTGCAGACAAGCGCAAACACCCCTGCTGTTCTGCCTGAGAAGAAATGAGGATAAGCAGATGCAAAATAAGCTATAAGAAGAGCGATGGAAAAGGAAAAGGAGCGGGGGAATGGGGGATGGAGAAGAAGGCGGAGGTGTGGCCCTCCATGCAAGTCATTCCATTAGAAGGAGCAGCACTGTGTCCTATGCATGTGGATGTCTCATTAAGAGCTAGCATGGCTGGAGAGAGGCAGGAGCTCCCCAGGGCCTGAGAAAACCACACTGTTCTCAAAACATCACAGGGAACACTGTGAGTTTTTAATGCTAGGTAACAATGGGTGATCCTGTTTACCAATAATAAATAAAAACCGGACACGCGGTGCTTTTTGTGCATGCATGTGCAACTGGGAACTCATGGAGACATATGTTATTGAGGTTGTGTAATATACATTGCTCTGTGTGCATAGTAGGTTGTATTAGTTTCAGTGAAACGTGCTGCTGCAGAAGCAACTATTTGTGTTCACTGAAGCACATACACCCGTAGGTGTTGGCAGGGGATCAAGGTTTAGATTTAATATGTTATTTGCCTTTGAAAAAACATATACGAGAGTTACTGGATCAAAGCAGAGGCACGAGCGAGAGAAACACTGTTAGAAGCCTGTCTGCATTTATAAATGACTGACAAAATTGCAGGTAAGTGGTACTGTATATTTAAAAGATCAGTGTGCACGAGGAAAAGCAGAAGATAAGATCAGTACACAAACATAATTTCTCAGTCAAGCGTTATCTGCTGTGATTGTTGCAGCCATTTGATTTTACCTCCTAAGGTTTTGAGATACAGCATCTATCTCTGAGATACCTGTCATCCCCCAGATACAAAGAGATTTTGTTTGTTTGTTTAGTTTCTTTTTCCTTTATGTTTCAAGAGTGTTTTGGAGATTTTAAACCTTTATTGGAGACCTGACAGGAAATGAGAGTAGTGAGACAGGCAGAAGAGCATGTAACAGGGCTCATTTTGAGACTTGTACCAAGGATGCTGCAAGTCAAAGGTCAAAAGTCAAAGCGTTTATTTGTCATATGCACAGTTAGGAAACGTGTTTCCCTGTACAATGAAATTGTTACTTTGCCGTCCACATGAATGCCACAAAATACAAATGAAATATAAAGTAGATAAATAAGTAACACTAAATCTAAGGCACATTAAGCAACAAATGCAGATATGTTATAAAAAATATACAAGAATATAATAAGAAAATGTATGATGCATGGGAACTGCATGTGCAGTAGTCAACAGTCAATGTGCAATTATGCATGTGTAAACTGAGAATGTAAACAGTACACATGACGTATTTCCTGGTAATAAACTCCTGTCAGCTGTTTAGGAGTCTGGTGGCAGAGGGAAAGAAAGAGGTCATGGTCAATGCGAGGACACCCTGTTCTCAGCCCCAAAGAGCACACCTCCAAATCCTTTAAGTTAAACTGACTAAAAGAGTGCAATTAGAATCAGATTTGTGTTTACTATCTCTTATGTTGCTGGTGAGTCCACAGGTTGATTTGCAACTGGGAGCAGGGATTTGCAAAGTGAGTATTGAGACTCAAGCTAATGCCTCTTTGTCTAACAAAAATTGCTCCTTCAGAACAACTAAACACATGTAATTAACATTTAGCTAAAAACATAGCTGTGGTACTGTTTGTTGTTGCAGTCAATGTTTTGCAACAATGAATATTCACTCTTTCTAGTATGTAGAACATTTTTCACTAGAAATGAATAATTGTTAACTATGGATGGCAAAG